CAATTGTTTGTCTCTTTACGGCTTTTTTTGTAGGCATGGTGACTCCAAATTCTTTACAAAACCTAAAACTAGAAATAACGTTAACAATAACGCAACTTCCTATATACATATACATAGGGGAAAAAAACATATATAAAAACTCTAGGCCAAAGTAAACCGCATTTGAAGCCTACACGTGAAACAGGCCTGGACTGCTATAAAGTAATGTACAGTTAAAAAGTGAAAAATGTACATTTGGCTTTCAATTCCTCAAACTCCTATGAAGCAAGCAAAACTTTCCAGGACCCGCACTGCTGTACAGGGCTCTTTATATTGGCTATAAATTGTCCCTGCCTCGGCTTGTTCGGGCATCAACAGCTAAAATGTTGCTAAGTTAGGCAACTGACTAGGTTTTGAGACACATGCACTCCGTTTTCTGGCGCTGACTTCACGCTCTGACTGACAGCGACAAATGCTTGATGGCGGTTTATCGGACAAACATGGCATGGGAAAGAACAGGCTCTTATTTTTTAGGTTTTATAGACAATTTAAATGCAGGAAATGGTTTAAACACGGCAGAATAAGATATGAGCTCGAGTTCAAGTTCAACGTCGTAAAGGAACAACCCGCTAAAAGTTTAACCAGACCAAGCCTTATGCAGTGACACTTTTGAGTCAGAGGTTAACGTACATGGTTCAACCTCGCACCATTTAGTTTGAGATTAGTTATTTCAGAGATGTGTCGCACAAGATCGGCTAAAGTTTAAATAAGATTACGATCAATGAATAAATTAAACAGGATCAAACATGCTTGTTCTGCACACAGCTCAGCTGCAGTCCAAATCTCAGTTTGTATTACATTTCCTGTGCTTCTGATAGACTTATTTTTATTATCTTACCGTGGGTAGGCAGCTGAGATGAAAAACCTACACTTATGAGTGAAAACTGCCCAGGTTCAAAGCTTTCGCTTCTTCGAGGAGGTTTGTGAACATAAGTAACTCCTTGAAAGAATATAACGCACGCGCGTCTCACTCCGGCACTACTTCGTGTATTTCACTGGAATCGCGCTAATAAACAAATGCGCAGGCGCCACCTATTGGAAAGGCGGGTTGGAAAATGTTATAGATGAAGAATGTGTTTGATTTATAATCGTCATTTCATTGAAACGTTACCAAACGTTGTTTTACCAAGGAATATTTTAAAAGTATGCATATAGTAGCATTTAAAACTATTTTAAATGACTAAATGACTTATGACACACGACTAATCATAATTGAGAATTCTCATAATAAATCAGAATAATACAATCAGATACATCACAAAAAAATCATAAACAAATAAAATAATAAAAAATAAAATCCAAAGAACATTTCTAATTATGTGGAGGGACTTTTAAAATCTTTATACAAAATGTTTGCATTTCAATTTTGCCTTATTTTTTATTTGTTTATTTATTTATTTTTTAAATTGTTGTTTAATTGGCTTCAGTTATTTATGGTCAGACCAGTATTATTTTTGTATTAATTATATACTGTTATGGTATTCATTAATATTTTGAATTAAAAGTTTTTATATTTTCAATTAATTTCATTTTAGTTTAGGTTTTTGTAACTGTGCTTTGCCATTTTTATTGTTATTATTTCTGCATTAAAACTGTAATTTGGACCTTCAAGCGGTTGGTAACCATTAAAGTCCATTATATGGAGAAAAATCCTGGAATGTTTTCCTCAAAAACCTTAATTTCTTTGCGACTGAAGAAAGAAAGACAAGAACATCTTGGATGACATGGGGGTGAGTAAATTATCAGGAATGTTTTAAGAGAATCTCTCCCCTAAATGGCACATAAAAATGCTTTTTGGACAAAAACAGCTACAATGTGGGTCAGTTTAATCAAAGGTCTGGCTATATGAAAATAGAGACTCGCCTTTTTGTTTTTTCACAGACGTTGAGTCCTCAGGTGCTGCAATTGTTTGTCTCTTTACGGCTTTTTTTGCAGGCATGGTGACTCCAAATTCTTTACAAAACCTAAAACTAGAAATAATGTTAACAATAACGCAACTTCCTATATACATATACATAGGGGAAAAAAAACATATATAAAAACTCTAGGCCAAAGTAAACCGCATTTGAAGCCTACACGTGAAACAGGCCTGGACTGCTATAAAGTAATGTACAGTTAAAAAGTGAAAAATGTACATTTGGCTTTCAATTCCTCAAACTCCTATGAAGCAAGCAAAACTTTCCAGGACCCGCACTGCTGTACAGGGCTCTTTATATTGGCTATAAATTGTCCCTGCCTCGGCTTGTTCGGGCATCAACAGCTAAAATGTTGCTAAGTTAGGCAACTGACTAGGTTTTGAGACACATGCACTCCGTTTTCTGGCGCTGACTTCACGCTCTGACTGACAGCGACAAATGCTTGATGGCGGTTTATCGGACAAACATGGCATGGGAAAGAACAGGCTCTTATTTTTTAGGTTTTATACACAATTTAAATGCAGGAAATGGTTTAAACATGGCAGAATAAGATATGAGCTCGAGTTCAAGTTCAACGTCGTAAAGGAACAACCCGCTAAAAGTTTAACCAGACCAAGCCTTATGCAGTGACACTTTTGAGTCAGAGGTTAACGTACATGGTTCAACCTCGCACCATTTAGTTTGAGATTAGTTATTTCAGAGATGTGTCGCACAAGATCGGCTAAATTTTAAATAAGATTACGATCAATGAATAAATTAAACAGGATCAAACATGCTTGTTCTGCACACAGCTCAGCTGCAGTCCAAATCTCAGTTTGTATTACATTTCCTGTGCTTCTGATAGACTTATTTTTATTATCTTACCGTGGGTAGGCAGCTGAGATGAAAAACCTACACTTATGAGTGAAAACTGCCCAGGTTCAAAGCTTTCGCTTCTTCGAGGAGGTTTGTGAACATAAGTAACTCCTTGAAAGAATATAACGCACGCGCGTCTCACTCCGGCACTACTTCGTGTATTTCACTGGAATCGCGCTAATAAACAAATGCGCAGGCGCCACCTATTGGAAAGGCGGGTTGGAAAATGTTATAGCTGAAGAATGTGTTTGATTTATAATCGTCATTTAATTGAAACGTTACTAAACGTTGTTTTACCAATGAATATTTTAAAAGTATGCATATAGTAGCATTTAAAACTATTTTAAATGACTAAATGACTTATGACACACGACTAATCATAATTGAGAATTCTCATAATAAATCAGAATAATACAATCAGATACATCACAAAAAAATCATAAACAAATAAAATAATAAAAAATAAAATCCAAAGAACATTTCTAATTATGTGGAGGGACTTTTAAAATCTTTATACAAAATGTTTGCATTTCAATTTTGCCTTATTTTTTATTTGTTTATTTATTTATTTTTTAAATTGTTGTTTAATTGGCTTCAGTTATTTATGGTCAGACCAGTATTATTTTTGTATTAATTATATACTGTTATGGTATTCATTAATATTTTGAATTAAAAGTTTTTATATTTTCAATTAATTTCATTTTAGTTTAGGTTTTTGTAACTGTGCTTTGCCATTTTTATTGTTATTATTTTAAAAAATGTCTATTCAGCTTTAATTTTAATTTTAGTTTTAGTAATTTTGCTACTTCAAATTCAATTGATTTCAGTTAAAAATACTTTGTAGTATTTTTAGTACTTTTTAGCTGGAAAAAAAAAAAAAAAAAAAAAAATACAGCAGTTTTATATATATACATATATATACTTTTATTCATTTATTTCTGTGATGGCAAATGTCACATGATTCTTGAGAAGCCATTTTAATATGCTGATTTGGTGCTCAGGAAACATTTCATATTAATATCAATTTTGAAAATGAATGTGCTGCTTAATGTTTTTGTAAAAACTATGATATATATATATATATATATATATATAG